AAAATGTTTTGTTATTGACGTGGTGAGTCAGACAGCTATTTACACAGCAAAACAATTATTTCCATAAAAATATAGGCTATAAACATTCAAAAATATATGTTTACCTTTTAGGCAAATTGCATAAATTAGAATAGTGATGTCTCAAAACGCATTTATATATTTTCTTAACGTGTTGTAGGCAACCTTAACTGCGTTAAACATGGTGTCACGTGCATGGAAATATACATGGAAATGATATGCAGATGACGTTATGCATATTAAAACTAGGCGTTGTAAGCTCCATATATGGCTATTTCGGGGAGGAGACGGGGTGGAGATTCATGTACGCACATCGCACAATCTTCCGCTGACTGGGTATTACAAAAGGAATTTTGTGCAGGTTCTGGTGTACGCATGGCTTTATAAATCTGAAAACTTTTGTACGTATGCAAAATCTAGCTTTTGTGCGTACGCACACATAGGATGAAATCTACGTAAATTGTATACATGATCTCTCCCCTGATCTCTGTACAGCAAAGAGGAAAAGAGTTCAAACGAGCCCTTTCCAAACTCAAATCTCTCTCACAGCCATCAAACTAAACGCAAATCAGGCATCTCTTTCAGAAACCTACACGGCTTCTGATTGATCTGTCATTCAGTGATTTCTTTAAGCTTCTCGCGATCATCTGCCCTAATAGCAGTGACATTAAAGCGTTCTTAATTATCGGAAACATGCTTTATTTTCTTGAGGGCGGAGTTAATATCAAATTAAAAGACTTAAAATCATTGTTTGAAAATGTATTATATAACATTTGCAGTATTTAAGATGTGTTGTTTTAAAGCTAAACTAGATGGAGTAATAAACTGACTAAATTCCAGGCTGGTGATTAATTATTGATGTTAACGAGCTTAATGAATGAATTCCTCCAATTAAGAGCATTTAAATATGGCTGCCATCAGTGCAGCTGATTGAGAGTATCTGTGGAGCAGTGAAGAGCTGTAGAGTTTGGTGAAGTTCTGCAGGGTTTCTGAAAGAGGCACTTGGTTTGGTTCTATTTGGTGAAGTGCTGCAGGGTTTCTGAAAGAGGCACTTGATTTGGTTCTAGTCTTGGATGATCGGTTTTCATGGCTATGAAGGAGTTTTTTGTTTGGAAAGGGCTCATTTTAGTCCTTTTTCTCTTTGCTGTTGATGGGCAGACATCAGGACCGTGAGTAAACGAGCTTTGAAGTGAAAAATAAAGTGTCTTTTGTCTAAACGTGATTCCTCAAAGTTTGTGTTTCTAGTCTCTATATTATGGAAACTATCTCTGTGATTATGCACCTGCATGAATATGCGTGCTGATCTGACTTTGACTTCTAATACTAAATGTCTGTCTGATATTTCCACAGATCCTTCTTGGTGACGTTTTCTGCAGTGATCAAGTCTGGCTCTATTGCCAAATTGTGTGCAAGTCTTTTAAAACCCAATGAGAGTCTTGCATTGACCATCTATCTGGTTGATGACAAAAACCGGACCACACAGCTCGTGCAGCAGAGATCTTCAACGGAGTTTCACCACTGTTTTAGTTTCCAGGTGTGACACCGTGTGGCACATGCAGTTTTTTTTTTAGTTTTTTTTTATTTTTTTTTTATATTTTTTTTTCTCTTCATGTATTAATGCGTTTCTCTATAGGCTCCTCGTGTAGATGGAGAATTAGTGCAGAAACTGAGGGTGGTACTTCAAGGGAGGTTCTTCAAAATGACTGAAGAGCGGAAAGTCATGTTCAGACGTTACCTGCCTTTGACCTTCATCCAAACCGACAAACCCATCTACAATCCAGGACAAATGGGTGAGCTACAAATGACCTGTGGATGAATATTAGAAGTGATCAGAACTTGTAGTGTAATGGACTTTCTACATGTTCAAATGCATTATGTAATGGATGTGAGTTATGTTTCTCTTCTGCAGTGAACTTCAGGGCTGTGACCATGGATGCTAAATTTGTGCCTCTTGATCAAATGGTAATGCCTGATCTGCTTCTAGGTTTTGATGACTGACTGAGGTCCTAATTTTAAAGCCTTTCTTTCTGGTTTAGTTTTACCGAAGTTTGACATCACCTTGACTGCACCACAGATGTATAGTGTGGGAGATGTGGGACTGAAAGTTGAGGCTTGTGCCAAGTAAGAATAAGCTCATGTTCTTGACTAGTTGTATTTTGGTTGGAGTTAATCTTGTTCCTTAACATTTTCCCAGTTACACATATGGGCAACCTGTACCTGGTCAAGCGTTGGTGGAAGTGTGTCGTGAGCCGTTCCCGTACGCTGTGGTACCTGGCCTGTCTCGTGTGTGTCTTATCAAAACTGCTATGGTATGAGACTGCTGTACAGAGCAGGGTTTTGTGTTCTTCTGCATGTCTACATTTAAATCTGACCTCCTTTGTTCTGCTACCAGATGAACAACACTGGCTGTGTTTCCCTTACCATCAGTACGTCAGAGTTTTTCAACACCAAATTTGAAAATGACCTGCAAGATTCATTTCTAGTTAACCTGAATGTCACTGAGGAGGGAACAGGTGAGCTGCTGGCTGATTTGAACCAGTGACTTGATTTTATTTGGTGCCTTATGTTTGTGGCATTTCTGTTTCCTCCCAGATGTAATGATGTCAAAATCCACAACTGTGTCCATTACGTTTGAAGTTGGCAAGGTCACGTTTTTGGACCTCCCAGGTTTCTTTGCCTATGGATCAATGGTTAACGGAAAGGTGAGTAAAGCTTCATCCTTATTAGACAGTCCTAATTGATTCCCTTTCCTAACCTTTCTTTCCCAACAGATCTCCGCATCTTATTTCTCTTATTAGACAGTCGTCATCATCATTGGTTCCCTTTCCTAACCTTTCTTTCCCAACAGATCTCCGCATCTTATTTCAATAGGACGCCAATCGCAAGCAAGGCTGTCTATCTCCTGGATAGGAGCCAATGGCCCAACAAACTGCTGCTGAATCTGACTACGAACATGAATGGACTGGCCGCCTTCTCCCTCAACACTGCTGATCTCCCTAAAGCTTATCTGAATCTGGTGGTACGATTTGCCTTAATCCTATTATTTTTAAATGAAGACTTCCCTTGCCAGAAACCAATTATATGAATTTGTTCCTCAGGCAAGTGCAACTTCACAGGTTGTTTATGGTTATAAATCGCCCTACTTCAGTACGGACACGAGGACTGTGCCGCTTTTCCAAACTTCTACTCCCAATAACCCAACGTTTAGTGAACTGACTATAGTGAAGTTTGAGCAGCCACTGAAGTGTGGTGCCAAGTATCCAGTGACAATCAAGTATTCCTTTGTTGGAGAAACCGGTGACTACAGTGCTGACATCCTCTATATGGTGAGTGGACGCTGGTTTTGCTGAAGGCACTAGTACTTTTCTAGCACCTTTTAAACGCCAGTCTGTGTTTTCTGTCAGGTGTTGTCCAGAGGAGTGATTGTTCTGCATGG